TTATAATCCTACCACATCCAAAGTAAACTCAGCATTTCCATTAGAAAACCCTAGGTGTACTATTATTTGTTATACTTCTAACAGATCTCTATATTTATTTTATGTAAAAACATGCTTCAATGTAGCTATTTTCATCTGTATATACCCAAGACATCGGTCTCTCGGCTACACAAAGTGGACTGTGTGCTGACAGCAGGAGGGTATCCAGCCGGAGCAGAGTAGTTGATGGCTTCCGCGTTCACAGGTGAGTGAAGCACCACGAGGGTCAGATAATCTGCTCTTTGCAAATCTACTCATTTCTGCCAACTTCCTCTGTACTAAATGCTCTGCCTCACAACTCATGGGAATTCTAGTTATAAAAAGTATCAAAGCATTCCTAGTATGTTAGAAGTTTTTACAAATTATTATTTCTTTTTACTGATTCAACTGCCACCGTAAAGAATTAGTTTTTAAAAACTGGCTCTAAAACGACTACTTCCGAAATCAATAAACATATGTGACAATTTAAAAAAATCTTCATGCTTTTTCACCATATGAAACTACGAAGATTTATATAAGACAAACAGAATGAAAATAAGGACTTCCATCTTTTACAGAAGGGTTAACACATGTCACCCCCAAATCTCAATCAGAAAGTGTGACCTTCTAGGCTTTTCTTTTTAGGAAATGCACATTACACCTTTTATGTTAACTCTAAAGTGTAAAGAATACGTCTGTAGTATATGGTTTTGAAAAACCAACACATAAAGATACACATCCTTGCATATGATCCACTTTCGGAATTTGTAATTATTTAACTTATAATTAGAAGCCACCTACTTATCCAGAGAACTTAAATTGCTTTTGTTCATTTTCCATACTACTCCCCACACTTCATCGCCAGGACTTTGAAAAATGGTGGCTATACCTCCATGCCAAGTTTCACTTGTTTTGCCTTGGAAATTGCCAAAGTCAAGCTTAAAATCCTACAAAGAAAATCAAAGTGACATGATCAATATTCTCTTGAACCAAAATTTCCTCAAAAAAGAAAAAAAGATTTACCTTGAACTTTATGCAATTAAAATATAAACTTTGAGTTCCTTCTATGTGTAAGAAGCTGTGGAAAATAGAAAGATAAACAAAAACCCAGATCTCAAGGACTGTATGTATTTTTCATATTCTTCTTTAAAAATGAAATGTATACTGAATAGGTACAGTATCTTACCATAAACAAAAGGTTTAAGGGGGAAGAAAAATCCCATAATCCCAATACCTTAACAACTATTTTCATTTTTGAAAATTACTTCCCAGCCTACTTACAGATAGATTTTTAACTTAGAAGCAATCACAGTGTACATAATTATTGAAACTGGGTGAAAGCTACATAGGGGTTATAATATTATCTCTACTTTTATGGATGTAAGGAGCATTGACTAGTATATATCACTATGTTTGCCCTAAGGGAGCTGGCATTTGAGGGTAATTTGTATACATATGAACACTAATCTAATATTCATAAACTGTACTAATATATCTATAATTATCATAAAAGCAACTAACACACTGGAAAATTACTGGGTTCTATATACGTACCGTGCTATGAGCTTTATATGGACTCTCATTTGTATCTTGCCTAATAACCTTATCATACCCATTTCACAGCAAGAAAAACTGTGGCTTACAAAGATTAAGCAACTTGCCTAAGGTCTCATGACTAATAAGTAATGGAGCCAGGTTTCCAGTTTAGCTTCTTCCCTCACAGAGAAGGCACAGTCCTGGGGAAGATGAAAAATCCTTACTTGGCTGTTTGATCTAGGAAGATTGCTTTCCATCTTTCCAGAAATTAGTTCCCTTAATGATAAAGTGAAAAAGGATGGGCTCAATAATAAGTCTAAGGTTTATATTTTATCCTTTAACTTTATTTTCTTAAAAACCTTCTCAGACATTTTAGGAAAAAGGTTTTTTCAGTGACCAGTACCTTCAGCTGGTATCCTGGATATTCTAGGACCAAGTGTCCCATCAAAGGATCTGATAAAAATTACCACAACACTAGGAACTGGTTGTCTATTGCTAAATGCAAGAGACAATTTTCATGCTTCATCTTGTTCCAGTTCTCAGCTGCTTCTGACAGTTAACCAACCCTGTCTTGATCTGCTTCCTTCCTGACTTTCAGGTTGTTCCTTGATCTCAATTACCTTTGCCAACTCCTCCTCGACTACCTGGTCTTTAAATGTTGGGGTGCCTAAGGGTTCAGTTTAGGCCCTTTTCTCTGTTCATTCAGTAGTCTGCTCAAGACAATCTCAACCCTCCAATAACTTCAAATATCATCTAATATTCCAATCATCTTTTAATCCAACCCAAATCTCTCTCTGGGCTTCAAAAGTGCTTAAAGCAAGCCTCGTACATTCCGAGTACTTAATAAATGTTCATTAATATTGTTCTGCTCACTTGGATGTAAAACTAGCATCTCAAATTTAGTACGTGCAAACCGAGCTTGATTTCCCCTCCCAAACCTGATTCTCCTCTTTAAAACATCACCCACCCTGTTATTGCACCAACAACCTTAGTCATCCCTATTATCTCTTCCTGCCTTCATCATCAATCACTGTTGACACTGTTACCTCCTAAATATCCCCCAAACATGGTGTTTCTGCTGTCGTTGGGCAGATGATGACACTGTTACTCCCTAAATATCCCCCAGACCCACCTACCCTCCACTGCTCCCACTCAAGGTGCCATCATCTTTAGTACAGAGCTTTTTAACTGGGCTCCCCACACCCCCTATTGCCACCCCTACCCCTTCCAATCCATTTCCCACAGCAACCAGAAGAGGTAAATTAAAGATGTAAATCTGATCGTTACTTTGCTTAAATTCCACGGTGGGTCTTCTCCTGCTCTCAAGATAAAACCAGTCTTCTTTGACCTGTGGTCCTGCAACATGTGGCCCTTCCCTACCTCTGCAGCCCTCATGCAACATCTCCTTCACACACTCAGCTCCAGCCTCACCAGCCGGGTGACCCAGCTTCTCTCCTGAGTGAGGTCTTTTGCATACACCATTCCTTCTGTTTGTTTCTTCCCTCCCCGATCATTCAGGTCTTGGCTTAAGCAATCACATTTTCAAGAAGAGCTTTACTGAGCATTCCGGTTAGGTCAGGTCTCCATGTCATACACTCTTATAGCACCTTGTATGTCTCCTTAATAATAATTTTTTAAAAAGGCCACTTTTTTAGAGCAGTTTTAGGTTCACAGCAAAATTGAGACGAGGGTAAAACTCATCTCCGTTTTAAGACTAACCATACCTGTAACTGGATAATCATATTGATAGCTCCCCTCGTCATCTCAACTATATAGTATCTGAACTTCTTTCCCACATTTGGGGGACTCCCTACCTTATGGGGGGGGGGGGGGGGGCGGGTAGAGAGTGCCAGAGCTCAACTCCCAGTTTTGAAGCTTTGAACGCCAGAAGTTGGTTCTCCCAGCTTTGCTTGGGCACGTGACCAAGATCTACCCAACCTGGACAGCCCGCCCCCCCCTCCCTGAGTCTTAATTATGCCCAAGGACAGCAGAAACTCCACCCTGGTGGTGGTGGCCACATCTGGGTTTCAGGATCTGCAGGGGTGTAGTGACAGCGGCAGGCAGGGTCCATCCAGCACAGATGGTGCTGGCGCTGCACGAGGCAGTGCCCACGTCTACCCAGTTCAGCAGGGGTGCAGCCCTGGCCTCCCGGGCTGCTCCTGTCTGTGACACTGGCTGTATTACCATTGCAATGCCTCCCTTTACGCCTGCCTGTTTTGTCAGCTTTGTGGTCCCAACTTCCTGGTCACTCTGTAAGCTCTCCAACAGCCTTTCAATGCACTCTTTTTCCTGCCTAAACCAGCCACTTTCTGTTGCTTGCAACTAAGAACCCTGATGATGACGGCAGAGGCCCTGTTTGTCGAGCTCAACAAGCAAAATGGTTTTGTGACATAATTTGTCTGTGTGCTTCTCCTATAGCCTGGAAGGTCCTCAAAGCAGCCTGCGCTACTCAATCATCTCTTTGTCTCCAGGTTAAGTGCTGGGAAAACATGCAACTAAGAACCCTGATGATGACAGCAGAGGCCGTGTTTGTCGAGTTCAACATGCCAAAAGGTTTCGTAACATAATTTGTCCGCGTGCTTCTTCCATAGCCTGGAAGGTCCTCAAAGCAGCCAGCTCTATGCAATCATCTCTGTGTCTCCAGGTAAGTAAGTGCTGGGGAAAAAGGAATGAATGGACTGAGCTGAAGAGCATGAGTTTTACCCAGGTGGGCTCCGGTTCATCCAGCCACTTGACTGAGCACAGCCCTTAGGAGGAATAAGACATGGTTCCAGCATTCAGGGCCTCTCGGGTTGTGGGGGGGGCGGGGGCGGTGAGGGATGACGAAAGACAGGAACACGCATTTTTACAACACCAGGTGTCAAGTCCGGTAGCAAAGATACCCACAGAACAGAAGGCAGCTGATTCCCTGACCTGGGTCAGAGAAAGCTGCTCCGAGGTCTGAACGAAATGGGTTCTGTGAGGATGCCCCTAAGTCAGTGCGCGAGAGGCGGCCGGAGCTGGGCAGAACGAGCAGCTTGTGGGAAGGATAGGAGGACAGGAGGGAGCCACGGCGGCCTGGGGGCAGGCTCCCTGGGGGCACCGTTGCTGGGGTGGCAGCGCTCAGTAGGGGGCCAGCACGGGGCCAGCACAGGGCCTCGAGGGCTTGCCAAGGAGGCACGTCGTGAAGATAAGCGGTAATCTTACGGGTTAGAGCTGCGTGCCCGGCCCCCTGGTCCGTGGGATGGGCATCACGTCGCAGGAGCCGGGCGGGGAGCACTGACCTGCAGGCGGGCCACGCAGCAGAATGCGGCCGAGGGGTTTCGGAGTTGGATCCGCTCGGTCAGCAGGTTGCTGCCATAGGCGAAGTACAGAAAGCTCTCCTCCAACTCCTGGCCCCGCAGGTCCTCGCAGCCCG